TTTTATCCTGATTGTTTTTTTTTTTTTTAAACCTTAATATTGTCAGAAACTGTCTAAGAACCCTGTGCACTTTAGGAGGAGACATCCCAGAACAAAAACAGTGAGTTGTTTGAGTGGATGGTCTTCCTGCTGGGTTGTCAGGTTTTAATCCGTCCTGCGATGGAAACATCCAGAGAACCACTGGACTCAGAAGGACGTCTGGGTTCTAGAGGACAACAGAATCAAAGCTTAAATAAATCAATCTTTTTTTTTTCAGGTGATTTCCTGAAAACGCTGGAAGACCCAGACCTGAACGTGCGCCGCGTTGCCTTGGTAACGTTTAACTCTGCTGCCCACAATAAACCGAGTCTGATCAGAGAACTGCTGGACTCAGTTTTACCGCATCTTTACAACGAGACCAAAGTGAGGAAGGAGCTGATCCGAGAGGTGAGGGGAGCAGCAACGGAGCGGGTTTGCTGGTGGGCGTGGCTTTGCGCTGACTGAGTGGGTGTGGGCTGTGTGCAGGTGGAGATGGGCCCCTTCAAACACACGGTGGACGATGGGCTGGACCTGAGGAAGGCGGCGTTTGAGTGCATGTACACTCTGCTGGACAGCTGCCTGGACCGACTCGACATCTTCACCTTCCTGAACCATGTGGAGGACGGCCTGAAGGACCATTACGACATCAAGGTCCGTCGCCCCAAACCCTCATTCTGTTTCCTCCATGTGTGATCAGTTTCAGAGACTCGTGCTTCACTTCCCATTGGTTCTGTTCTAGATGCTGACCTTCCTGATGCTGGCTAGACTGTCGTCACTTTGTCCCAGTGCTGTTCTGCAGAGACTGGACAGACTGGTGGAACCACTGAGGGCGACCTGCACCACTAAGGTACGTTCAAAAACAACTGTACTGAAAAACATCCTGACCAACGGGCCTGTAGGGGGAAACACTCGGATTTAGAGAGAATTAGAGCATTTCAGACTGAAAAAAACCTGAGATTAAATTAAATTAGAGAAATTTAATAAGAAACTGTTCTTAATGTGATGTGTGTGATGCAATGAGCTTGTCGCAGATATTTTTGATTTATGCCCAATATTAAAGCGTGGTCTGCTCTAAGTTATTCCATGCCACAACGCAAGAGGGACGATCATGAACTAGCTGTGGGTCTAGATACGGCCGAGAATTGCGAGGTATTGGGGGCAAGTTTGTGCGAAAACAGAGGGACAAGAGGGTGAAAAAGAGCGGGAATCCAGGTGGACAAAGGGTCCCAGCGTTCTGGCGCACCTCCATCTTCTAGCTGGTCCATCCTCACGAGTCGTTTCCCACAATGGCGGTCATACAAACAAAACAAGCTGGTAAGGTACGAAACAGTAAAAATGCATAGTGTAGATAGGGATATAGAATTGACCAATCAGAGGCCTCCTGTCTGCGGTGTCCTACAATTTGGAGAGGTGCAGCAGAGTGTCTAAACTGAAGCCACTCTGTTTTGTGAACCGTTTCCCACCAGTAGAATAAAAATGGCGTCTCTCTGCAGGTGAAGGCCAACTCTGTGAAGCAAGAGTTCGAGAAACAGGACGAGCTGAAGCGGTCGGCGATGCGAGCGGTTGTGGCGCTGCTGACCATCCCCGAGGCGGAGAAGTCGCCGCTGATGTCGGAGTTCCAGTCTCAGATCTCATCCAATCAGGAGCTAGCGGCCATCTTCGACTCCATCCAGAGAGACTCCAGCTCCGCAAACATGGAGTCCATGGACACCAGCTAAATGCGAGGACAGAGCAAATTACCATGATGCACCATCCCGCTGCTGGAACGCTAACCCCGCAGCATGTTTCCATAACAACATAACACACACACGCACACACAGAGTTATAGTGATACACCCTCTCCTAGCGATCGATTGTTTCCATGATGCATTGCACTGATTTTTGCGTTTGGAAAAGAAAGGAGGAAGATTATCGGACGGCTCACACGGACAAAAACGATTCGAAAAGAAAAACCTAGAAAAACAAAGCTACTCACATGGGTTCAAATGATTGGCTGATCTTCCTGTGCATTTTTTTCTTTTATTTCTTTTCTACTTAATTCCAGAAAGTTCCACAGGTACTGTAACCTGATTGGCCGCTGCTGAGTGACTGAGAGTTAGCAAGTTACCTAAATGGACCAATAGGGGGAAAATATCCAAAAGAAATCAGCCTCTCCTGCCTCAGGCTGTGGTGACCAATGGGAGAAAGCTCTTTCTTTGAAAATTATATCGGCAACCAATAGGAGGTTTTGGGAGAGAGAGAGAACTGATGGGCGGGGCTTTATTGTTCGTGGACCAATCGGCTTCTCAGTTGTTCTTCTGGCTAAGTAGATGTGCCCTTCTTCAATCTGAGAGGAAAGGAAGAAAGAGGAGAGATTATTGGACCAGGTTCCTTCTGACCAGACCTGACTGGACCACGCTGGCTGTTGCCATGGTTACGTAGAGTAAAAGAAAGTGTTTTTTTTGTTGGCTGTACTGACTTGAGCTGCCTTAAGCCAGTTCCAGCTGGTTTAATCTGGTAAACTGTGGTTGGATTTTGGTTCTACTGTGTTGCTCTTATCTTAGTCTAATGTGGGTAAACCTGGCCCAGACCGGTTTAAGCTGGTATGGTCTGGTCAGGACAATCCTCTGTTTATCACCCGAGAAAAATAAAAAATGGGTCCATTTCTGCCTGCCTACATACTCCGGCTGCTTTTTGTCTTCGTTTGCATGCCTGTTGTAACGTCTTCCTGTGGGATTACAATCATTAAATATAACGTACATTAATGCGATGGTTTAGGCAGAGTCAGGATTAGGATTAGAAAAAAAAAAGCCAATTCCAACACGGACATCTGGAAACATGACAGCCAAATCGAAATAGAAAGTAATGTGACTTTAATAGCATTAAAAAAATCCTAAATTTGATCAAATTCTAGTTACCTTTCCATTTTCTATTAAACATTTATTATGAAACTACTTAAGATAAAACAATAAAACATGTGCAAAAACACACTGAAATCCCAGCATGTCGGCACTTATTGGCTGTTAGGAACAAATAACTTCCAGTCTGGTTTATCTCCAGACATTTTAGCCCCTTTTCCTCCTGCTCCTTCAGATAGGTGCCACTTCTGTTCAATAGATGTTAAATCATGCTAGAGATCATCAGTCAGATTGATTATCAGGATTGTCTCAGACCTGCAGCCGATGACGCCTCCCCCTGGTACTAGAAATCCATCTGTCTGGCACCATTGATGTTTCCTTCATGTCAAACTAGTCATCCACTTCATTCACCGGCAAAGAACCTTTAGCTGCCATCACCGTGCTTCCTGCTATGGTCAGTGTGATTATGGATACTGGATCTATATCAGTCTGGGTAAGAATAGAGCAAAGCTTTGGCGTTGGGAGGTTTAAATATATTTGTTCATATAGGAAGCACTGCCCTGATCCATCAAAGTCCTCACTGAATGCTCTGGTCTGTGTTTATAATCCTTTGGTTGAGTTTAATTTGAGATGAATTACCGTTCAATTTCTAAAGAGAAAGATTCAGAGAAAATCCACTACTTAGTTAGGAACCTATAAAATCCTTATCAGTATTTATTTCCATTTCTATGCACCATAAGTGGGTATTTACAATTAAGATTTAATCTAAAAGGTGTAAAGCTTATCCACTAAAAATAAAATACAACACGGTCATCCACAAAACGGACAGTAGACATAAAATGGGGCTGAGAACATTGCCCTGAGGAACTCCATAATAGAGACTGATAGTTTGAATGTTTTAAAAGTGCATCACAGTAATAAAGTCAGAGAAGATTTAAAATGCAGAAACCAGCCATTGACTGATGGGAGAACAAACAACCAGGGAAAATGTAGCATTAAATGAGTCTGTTTGATCCACAATGAACCCTTTTATGGGATTCTCTTTCTAATTGGGTCAGTCCTCTGTTGTTCCATTTTGTAATATGTAATTTTTTTTTATGTTTATCGACCAAAGAAAATGTCCATAAGCATTCCATTTCTAAAGAAAACCTCCACGTAGTAAGGAACCTATGAAAACCTTTATACTAATACTATCATTCTCAGTGGAAATACTGTAAAAATATTGCAAAAATAGTTCCCTTCTGACCCTTGAGGTCAGCTTCAAGGGAGAAGATATTAGGAAATATTTTTGTGGTGAAACTGGAAGTCATCCAGCCTCACTGTGGTGAGCAAACTCGGCGTGTTTGAGCATGAGCTGATAAATGAGATCATCGCCTCTTCAGAACTTTACTGAGCGGCGCTGAGAGGTCGTCCAAAAACACCTCAGAACCAGGAATCAAATGTGAAACTGATCCTTGAAACTTAAATGGAATCTGGAGGATTTTTTTGGTAAATAAAGAATTATGATTTCATTTCATTCCTCAAAGATCAGCAGGGGGAGCCAAAGTTCAATTTAATGACAAGTTAAATCTAAGAATTATAAGCTGCAATAAACCAGATCCTCTGTGCTTCACCTGATGTTTAACTCCTGCTTCCTGATGTTTCCACCTCCTCATCCCAAGAATCAGAGGAGATGACTCTCCTCGTACGGCTGCCACCGCCTCTGATTGGCTGCTTAAATGAGGCAGAAACTCGTTAGAGGGTAAACAAACCAAATGATGCTCATTCATCTGGTCTCTTAGCAACATCTGAATCGACGAGTCGGTATCGGTGCGCCCGGGTCTGGATCATTGACATGCTGATGTTTTTACCTCTTTGAAGCTCAGTAATTTATTCTGCTCTGATGGGCCGCCTCGTCTTTTCAGAAAAAGTGATGCCGTCTGGGAGAGAAGAATATTTTAACATCTGATAGGAGAGAATCAGAAAACCTTCAGTTCAGTTGAACATTTTAAATTGGGAAAATAAAACTAAAAAGCTCAAGAAGGATCAAATAATGTCTGGTTTTCTAGGATATTCCCAAAGGGGAACAGATTATTTTAAGCTTTTAACTCTGAATCAGTTGAACATCAAAACTTGAACCATAGAAACAAACAAAATGTGCTTGTTTGTTTTGAAAACAGCCAAAAAAACATGAGTCTTAATAACTTCTTCACTTAAAATCCTGATTTCTTTGTTTTAACTGAAAAAAAGCAAAAGCAGGAATTTACATAAAGCATCAAACTGACTTAGAGGAAGTGTGTGTCAGTGGAAGGGAAGCTGGTTGGGTGGAGGTCCACTCTATTCTTGGTGACTCCTTCCTGTTTAGGTGTGGCTTCACGACACTGGATCTCTGCAGAAAACACCTTGTTCTTCAGGGCGTCAGCTGACGGCTCGGACTCCAGCTTCAGGCCGCTGGACGTAGATTTGGTTCAGTAACTGAGCACTCGTAAGCAACAGGAACATGACACGTGTGTGAGGGTTGAGACGTGTTGGTGTCAACACGCTCCGGCATGCTCTGCTCCCTCCCACACATGCTGGTTGTTCGTCGTTTCAGGGTCTGTTTGACACAAAATGTTTGGCTTCAACAGCTAACAGGAAGGACAAAATTCTGACAGGTTCTGCTCGCTCACCAACAAAACATCTCAACGTAAAAGTCAAGAGTTATAGTAAAATAAGAAGCTTTTATTCATATTTTTTTATTAATGGGTTAAAAAAAGTTTGTTTAACCGATTAGCTACTGAGTTTATCCATCAGTTATTTTCTAAACACATCTTTTATGTATTGATATTTCTATACAAAAGGTGGTTGCATCTAGTAAAAGATTCATTATTTAGATCACAATTAATACTTTAGTTGAAGTTAGTAAAGTATATTCCAAGAAAGTTGAAAAACAATCCACTGGACTTTGTTTTCAAGTTTGAAGACGTTTCTCTTCCCATCCTGGAAGCTTTTTCAATTCAAAATGTCAGAAATAGAGTTGAGTTTGAGGCTTTATAGAGACCAGAAACAAAGACTTGTTTTGGTTTAGAAAACATGCAAATTGAACCGGATGAGCGGCATATCTATAATAAAAAAAAAACAACTAAAATCTGAGACAAAATATAATGACGTCATCAACAAAACTAAAAAGGACATGGAGCCGAGAACAGCGCCCTGAGGTCTAGTCTTATCCAGAAGGGATATAGAGTTGTTAAATATCAACCCTAAAGCTTTTCACAAAGCAGCAGCAACAAAAACAGTAATACAACTTATTTAATCATGATATCCCTCATAGTGTCCCTAATATGACCTTTATATAATCTAAAAGCACGCAGATTAGAAAGCGGTTCAGGTTTAGGTTCTATTCCAGTTTACTCAGCAAAATGTTTGCTTCTCCATAGGAGGTTGGTCATCTGTTTCCTCAGAGTTATTCCCTGAAATTAATCTGCTTTTTTATTTTGAATTAAAACTTGCCAATTCTTATATTTTTTTCCCCTGGCTAATAAACAACTGCACTATGTTCCATAATCCCAGACTTCAATGAATCTACATTAGGGCTTAGAATAAAGCCTTGTGGGACGCCACACCTCTAATCCTCTGTTTGCAGCTCTTCAGATGTATAAATGAGAAGTTCTTAGTTTCCATTAATGTAAAAACACATTTTCTGTTGGTTAAATTACTGATCTGACTCTATCATAAGAAAAGCTGATGGATACATGTTGACAGTTTAATGTTTGTTAATGTTGTAAATAGTCTAAAATTTGAAATAAAACTCATCTAAAATAGATACAAGTTGTGTTTTACTCCAGGAAGCGGGAACCAGATGTAACTGAGACTGAAGAAAAGGTGGTAAACAACAAAATTAGAGCAAAACCGGAAGTTTTTCCTCCTGCCTTCAAAATAAAGTGTTACAGCATAAAACAGGAGCAGCACATTAACAACGATTTCATTAATTCTTATTCTCGTTGTGTGATTTCTTTTGTTGGTGTTTTTTACTCAATAAGACTCACAAAGAAAACAAAACATCACCCAAAATAATTCATAGATTTACAAACTAAAGCATTTGGAAAATCTCCCAACACTACAATAAAACCACTAAAATAGTGTTTCATTTTTTTAAATGAACGTAAATAACTGTACTGTTGTTGGGATTAAAGGCTTTAATATTAATCATATAATCCAGCATCAAAACTGGCTTTTTTATTTATTTACAAGGGATCTGCTGTATCTTTTGTTAATTCTAGCTTTATTTACAAGCTAAACCTACAAGCTTAATATGAATGAAAGACAATTAAAAACATATTTAGTTTTTCACTAAACCAATTAATCTCATAGGCCTCCAGATTAAACATGCATTTGGGGATCATGGACAAAGATCCTGGATGGGATTTGAACCAAGGACCGTATTACTGTAAGGAAACACTGCAGGCAGCTGCTCCAGCCTGCAGCCTCACTGATCATTTAAAGATGCTAATGAGTCAAAAGAATTTAAATTCACTGATTTTAACTTACAAACACGCACTGCTGATTTAAACTATGTAACGTATTAAATGTAACATGTTGCTTTTTCCCCCACTTTCTTTTTGAACTTACAGTATATCTATGGAAGAGGATTGGGGCCACTGAAAAAATAAAAATTCAGAGAAAAAAGTCAGAATTCTGAGAAAAAAGTCAGAATTCTGAGAAAAAAGTCAGAATTCTTAGATGTCGGAATTCTAAGATGAAAGTCAGAATTCTAAGAAGAAAATCAGGATTGTGGAAAAAAAAAGTCAGAATTCTTAGATTAAGGTCAGAATTCTAAGAAGGAATCTGAATTCTGAGATTAAAGTCAGAATTCTGACTTTTTCCCATCTTAAACTGAAATAATATTTAAAAATCAGTTCACTTTTTTTATTTTTTCAGTAGCCCTGATCCTCTTCCGTACATGTCAATACTTTTATTTTGAAGAAACTTTCCGGAAGCTCCCACATTCACCACGTCACACTTGACGTCAGAGAGCTGAAGCGGCAGGAGGGAGCGGCTCTGGTAGAGAGAGCATCACAGCCAGCAGGAGAGAGAGCGAGGCGCAGCACAGCGGACGGGTGGATGATTGTAAGTACTCCCGTTACAGATTTCCTCTTTTTCTGCTCGTTTTTTGAAATTAATCCGCCATTCAACGCGTGGAGGTTAGTATCCGGTCGCAGGAGGGCTGGTTCAGTCCGCCAGAAGCAGCCTGGGAGGCGGACGGGCCGGTACCGAACCGGACCGATCTGGGCTGGGTTTGCGGAAGCAGCGACCGGCGGACAGACAGACAGACAGACAGATAGACAGACAGATGTCGGATGTTAGACAGCTGCTTGGCATCAGAGGGGCTCTGATCTCTACAGGAATGTTTCTGATCTAGTTTACACTTTCTATGGTGTCCTCCGATGGAGCGGGGCCTGCTGCAGGAGCAGTCCGCGCAGGGAGCGCTGTGGGGCGGCCGCGCAGCTGAGGAAGCCCCGCTGCTCTGCTGGAGGAGAAAGAAAGAAAGGAAGTGAGGAGTTCAGTGTCTGCCAGCGGCTCTGCTCTCCCCTCAGCTCTGCAGAGCAGAGAGCAGCTACAGGCCCCACCTAGTGGAGCCTGATCCAGGTCCATCTGCCTCCACAGACTGGAGCAGATCTGGAGCAGCCTGGCCTCCTCTCACACCCAGCCAGGACAGGAAGCAGCTGCATGATGAGAGCCATGAAATAAAACAGCTTTAATAAACTTCTGCTGTCTCTCTGTGTCACATATAAACACTGCAGATGGTGGCCAGAAACACCACACAGAAAAACCAAATACAAGTCTGTGCAGGTGAAGAATGTCCTCAGTTTAAACCAATGCTCTCTGTTTTTATTGCTCATTTTAACTCAGTCATAAAATCAAGCCAAACTATCCACCATGAAGGATGTTTTTCAATAGTCGATTACTCCCTGGGTGGTGATAAAGGTTTTTCCTTTAACGGAATCACTAAAGTCCGACATATTGGTTCAGTTTGAACAGCCACACCCAGGCCTCATCACTAAGTAGTTGAATTTCCTTCAGCAGCACCTGTCCGACAACATGAAGTAGGCTAAAGGATCCAGGACCTGCCCTGATCTGAAATAGAAAAGAGCAGCTGAGAACCATGATCCACAGAATCGGAGCAGAAATCATCCCTGTAACTAGTTCAGTTGAGGTCAAAGGTCATGATTCAACAATGAGAAACTAAAATGACTTCAGAAACAGCGACCCAGAAGAACACAAAGACCCATCTGACATTTAGCCAGAGAACATCCTGATGATGTCACGGCGTGTGTCCGCTTCTATCTGACCCAGAAGGACGAGCGTTTCAGAACCAGAGCAGAGCTACAGTCAGGCATGGTGGAGGTAGTATGATGCTCCGGGCCTGTTCATCCTAAGCTGACGTCTTCAGACCAAACATGAAGGAAACAAAACGTTGATCTTAAAGTTTATCTTTCATTACTTGGATTATTCTATCAGCCTTTATCTGTAAACTACAGAAAATGTTTATTATGGTTTTAATCTGTGAGCTTCAACTAATAATGAGGAAGTTTTGACTAAAAACAACAACTTCTCACATTTGAGCTTGAAGTCGAGGTGTTTTTCCAATCGCTCCGGCTGGCTGCTGCAGTTTGAAAACCAAACTTTTATTAAATATGTGAAGTAAAATTTGTTCTTTTTTCTCTGAGCTGCAGAGAAGCAGAAGTTAAACCGTTTCCATCAGAGCTGCAGGTCCTACTGGACTCACCGTCTTTCTGTTGCTTCAGTTTCAGCTCAATTTGACTGATTTTCTGTAAATTATTGTCGGGAAACGATCAGATCCACCCTGTTTTCATCGGCGTCAGGCTTGTTTGTTTAATATAAAATCCGTTTTTGCTCTGAATTAAAGCGCTTCAGGTCTGAAAAACACAATTTATTCCCAACTATTATAAGAAAGATCCAGAAATCTTTTTTTATTTAAAGTTATTTTCAAAACACTTCCTCCTGATACCTCTGGCAGGTTATTCTATTAAATAAACCTTATTTCCTCCCAGTGTTTATGTTTATATTAACAATCAAATGTGATTAAAATCGTTTATTTGAGTATTACTAATGACTGAACAGTGAACGTGTTTTGCAGGTTTCTGGGAATGTGGTTCAATCCGGATCTTTTCAGCATCTGTTTTTAGTTTTATTAAAAATATGTTCAGTCTTTACAGCAGAGCAGAAAGCAGGAAGTGAAAGCGTGGACCAGAACATATGAACTTAGAGGAGTCAAATCGGGTTTAAATCGGTTTGCTTCAGTTTTTCTTCCGTTAATGAAGCGAAGCCGAGTTTCCCTCAAACTCTGAGCATTTTGTGCTGCAGCGATCATTTCTGGACAAAAACGATTTCTCGTTATATATGAGGTCCCACGTCTTGCTTTGAATTAGGAAAAAATCTGATTTCATTTATTTTGAACCAAAGGATACAATATAGATAACATTGATCAGATTATGCTCCTAAAAACTAGAAGCTACTGATGGAAAATGGTGGAGATTCTGGTTTTAAAGCTGCAGCTGTTGGTGGATCAGAACAGATCTGGGGATAATAGATCTGAACTCTAACTTCAGATTTCTATGAATAAACCTTTTAGCTTTCTGTAAATGTAGCTCCAATAAGAACTGAAATAATTCACTCTTTAAGCCTTATTTATGCGTATAAATAAGACTTATTTCTGCGTTTTTTCCCTCTCCATCAGTAAATTGTGTGAATTAAAGCTGGTTCTTTTATTAAAAGCTCATCTCAGGCTCTTTATTTCACTTTCAGAGCAACAGATTGCAGTGAAATCCAAATTAATTAAAGTAGTGGTGTTTTAATTTGAATCTTTTAAGCAGGAAGTAGTCTGCTGTTTCAGAACATAAACAGTAAAATGCTTCGCTTTGCTCTTCTGTTTATTATTTACTGATAAAGCTCTTTAGCTTCCTTCTTCCAGTCGTGACGTTTTGTGCGTTTGCTAGTCGGAGCTTTAGTTGCGATTTTCTTCCAGGGGAACTCCAGATGTTTGTTTTTTTCCGGGATGGGTTGGTAGTTCCTGCTCTTCTGCTCAGCGCCTCGCTGTAATCTGTCTGACCCGCCCAGACTTGTCGTCTCAACCTGAAGAGCGTTTCAGATAAACAAGCCCTTTTTCAAACCCTAAGGCGCTGGAATCTATGCTGATGCGTTCAGGTACAGTCGGGAAGCAGAAACTTCCACCTTCTACTCCAGGATATGAATGTCCATGTAAAACCTTCTCAGTCTGACTGATCCATTGGTGTTTAACGATGGAGGGAAAGGATTTCATCGCTGTCGGCTGTTCCTAAATGATGCGTCTTGATGCTTTGGGAAGGATTGGAGATCACGGCTGTCTAGTTCAGGCTTGCTCCCAGAGATTCCTTCTTCAGGAGAGAATCAGATTAAACTCCTTTCCTGGCCTCCGTTCAACACTAAATGATTCGCTGCAGCCATAAAATGCAGGAACAGATGCATGTGAGTGAATAGTGGTTCATTTAGCATTCCTGAAATAAATAAATAAATAAATAAAAGTCAAACTGGACCTAAGAACTCTTGCATGATTATTTAAAATCATGTTTTCCAAAAAAAATCCTATTTTATTTAGTTTAAATGGTTGGAAAAATCAGGTGTTTGATTAAATCTGTGGTTGCAGTTCACCATTCACACCACCAGATGTCACTTTATCCAATAATATGGACCTTTAAACATTGAAAACCACTTTAAACCAGTTTGTTTCTGTGAGGAATGGCTCACTGTGGTCAGACTGGAAACCTCCCAACAACACAGCTACTTATACAGGGTTAAAATGGGATGCCGTTGCTATGCAACTGTGCAGGTGTTTCTGGGTAGTTTAAGAAAGTTTGGGAGCAGTTGCCTGGTTACTGTTACCTAGAGATTAGAGGAGGATGTGAGCTGCTAATCAGTGTTAATCTGAATATCGTCAGAGCTGAAGGTTTAAAAGTCAAACGTTTGTCGGAGGAGAAGGACGATGATCCAACATGGCCGCCTCTAAACGGGTCGAAGGAAAAGTTAGGAGATAAAAGTGACTTAACTGCTTCAACCGGGTTAAATTCCCCTAAGTGATGAAAACTGTTCGTTAAACTGTGGAGGAGCAGCTGTTGGTGCTGAAGGCTGATTAATCAGTCTAGGAAGCGTTTAGTTCCACAGCTTTTTGTCTGTTAGAGCAGCTTTTCTAGCTTCACTGCTTCTAACTCTAGAAGAAACGACAGACTTCTTGGTTTGGATGAATTTGAGGATCGTGGATGAGGGGAAAATTATCTGGTTCTAATCTGAGATAATCTCTCATTATGACCCAAGTGTTTATATGATTTTTATCCTTCAATGGTTGAACTTCTGCTCTGCTGTGGAAAAGTCTGCTTTACAAGGAAATATTATCACACACAACCATCTCGTCTCCATGGCGACCTGAGTGGGCCCCATCAGCAGCGAGAGGAGCGAGGACCCTACGGCCGTTTCTCATTTCAGATTAAGTTTATTTTAAATTTAGAAACAAGTGCAGGAGACATTAAAGGAACGTTTCTGCTCACATTTTTTGGGTTATTTAAGGTGGAAAGATGCAGAGTGTCAAAAGTTCATAGTGTTCACTGATTGTTCTTTATTTTTCACAATATTAAAGTTCATCTTCCTCTTGTTAAAGTAACTTCCTCCTTCTTGACTTTTAGAGTTATTATTGGTAAATCCAGTTTTCAGTGTTTTTTTTTTTCTTCACTATTTGAGTCAGTTCAAGATTTTTACTTGCATTAGAATCAAAATATCAAATGATAGACGAATAAATGTAATAAAAGAATCTTTAAAAGTATTTTTATTATCATCTGTCTTGATGTAGGTTTTGTGGAAGAACTTTAGTATTATTTTACTTCTAGTAGACTTTATTTCTAAATATTCATTTCACAGGTTTACATTCAAACTTTATGGGAAGAAAAATCTGCTTTGAAACTGAGTTTTGTTTGTTTGTTGTGATAAAAAGCTTTAAGCTATTAGTGGATTGGGTCCGTTTTCTGCTCTCTGTCTGGGTCAGCTCTCTGTGGGGCCCTCCTGTGTGTTTGTCATGTTGCCGTGACGCTGCAGGCTTTCAGCATAGCAACAGTAACCAGGAAGGAGACAAGTCCACCAGCTGTGCGATCACATGACCCGAGCAGAGCTGTTTTGAGTTAACCTGCCAGGTGTTGTCATCTGCTCTCTGATTGGCTGCTCTGACCTGCTCTCTCTCTCTCTCTCTCTCTCTCTCTCTCTCTCTCGCCCAGCAGACAGACAGTCAGGATGCGTGAATATAAACTGGTTGTTTTAGGATCAGGAGGCGTCGGGAAGTCAGCGCTGGTAAGTCCCAAACACAGCCTGGAGTCTGACTCTGCTGTCATGTCAATAAATGAATCATCAGTTCCTTAACATGTTGAAGGAACTTTCCTTAAAGTGACTCAGGGGTTATTCAGTTTGCTTCCTAAAATTCATTAATTCCCCAACTCACTTCAATGAGTTTTCTTGATATTAGAATTAAAGGCTATAAAATCTGTAACCAACCTTTAATAACTTTACCTGAACCTAAAAACAAACTGATAAGAATGTAAATTACCTTTAGATGAATAAGAATTCAAAACGTTTCTCTTGAGAGAATCCAGCAGCTTCTCCTCTTAGATGATGGCTCTGTTTGAATTCGTGGGCTGCGTCTTCCAGGGACGCCGTCCTTCGAAGTCCTCGAAAATAAGGAGACCGGAAGAGTTTTGGCTGTCAATTCAAACAGGTCCAGCCTTCGGCGGCTTTTACGTACGCTCCGTACGCTCTGTCGCCTAGCAACCATGACAGTTGACATACAAAGCAGGAAAAGACTAAATACCAACTTTTCAAAACTGGTTAAATCTTAATTTGTTATTATTATAAAGT